AGTGTTTGTTATTTAGTGACATCCCGAAGAAACCATAAAATATTGTGTGTTCTATACAGTCAAAAGTTAACCACTATGGGCCAGTGTTTTGTTATTTAGTGACGTCCCGAAGAAACCATAAAATATTGTGTGTTCTATACAGTCAAAAGTTAACCACTATGGGCCAGTGTTTTGTTATTTAGTGACGTCCCGAAGAAACCATAAAATATTGTGTGTTCTATACAGTCAAAAGTTAACCACTATGGGCCAGTGTTTTGTTATTTAGTGACATCCCGAAGAAACCATAAAATATTGTGTGTTCTATACAGTCAAAAGTTAACCACTATGGGCCAGTGTTTTGTTGTGGTAAATCTAGTCCCTCTATTGTAGAATATTTTATAATTATTTGTACAAAATCAAGTAAAATTTGTTTGTTATATTAAATATAGTGTTAGAAAGGCCTTTATTTTAAACTTTAACTAAAAGCAAGGATAATAAAATTAAAAATATTGTTGTAAATTAAGTTTCTTTTTGTAAACTTGGTGGAAAGAGTAATCATTTTCATCAGAATTATTTTTAAATAACTTTTTTATTATTTTTCTGAAAGGTTCACCTTCAGACACAGCAGGAAGGAAAACTAAGCCTTGTACGTAATACTATTAATATTGTTCGTTACCAGGGAATTCTCGCACTTTACAATGGTCTTAGTGCTTCATTGCTGCGCCAGGTAAAGCATGTGTTTTATTTGGTGTGGAATTATACCTAAACCTCAATAGTCATGTTATGGTTTTACTAATGGCTGGCAGAAATCGTAATTTTAATTAATAACAAGTTTAACAAATGAATTTATATTGCTTAGATGCCTATACTTATGACGCTCAGACCACTTTGGTCTATGCTCCTCTCATTCCATTTATGGAAACATTATTACTATTGTTCCAGCCACGTGTTGAAAGTTATATGTTTTTCTGTACTCTAGTTGACGTACTCCACTACTCGCTTCGGTATCTATGAGGTTGTAAAGCAAAATGCAACGAAACCAGGAGAACCATTACCTTTCTACAAAAAAGTTATGTTTGCAGCTGTTGCCGGAGCTGCTGGGGGATTTGTGGGCACACCAGGTGATATGGTGAATGTCAGGTGAAGAACATATCAATCTCACTGTTAGAAATGCTTTGACTTTAACAATGGTATCGTTAGAAATAACTTGATATATATATATATATATATATACACTGTTCTGAACATCCATTATGTA